TGCAGGTATCACCATATAATAACAATAAAGCCTCGAGGGGACCAGTTTAAGTATCCCAATAAATTATAAAAGACAAAGAATTGGAAAGGAAAATTAAACATAAACTATAAATGAAAAAATAAAGACGTGAAATTATGCATATTAAAATAACAAGTTGGAAAGGAATTCTACAAGGAGCTAATAGGTATGTAGTGTTACGTCTCTGGTCGTTAGTTACTCTCCCGTATAATTTCTTTACGATGAAACTTTAGCGATGCAATTCCTTTCTTAAATACAACTTTGCAATACACTTAATTTCCACAGTCGCGCTATAACAAACGCTATAATTCACAATGAACGTCTCACGTGCTCGATTCAACTGTCAATTACACATTGTTGCCGTCGGCTTATATAAACAAGACTACCGCATATCTAGTAGCCTCTCGAGACTTCAGGAAGGGGCAGAATCCTTCTAGAAGTTCCTGACGTGTTACTAGCGTCACGTGACTTCCGCTGTCGTAACAGTAGTATTCCAATTTCTTAATTTCAAACATATCATTACAGTTTACACTATCCTACCAAAAGTCATGGGACATGGGTAGTTATGAATAAAATATGTTTTTATTCCAAGAACTTAATAGCGTGTTGGCCCGCCTTTGGCCTTAATGACTGATTCAATGTGTCGTGGAAGACTGTCTACTAATTTCTGGTGGTATTGTGTTCCACTCCTCCTTTAAATCATTAGTAAGCTCCATTAATGAAGAGGGCCGTCTTGGCCTTGCCCTAATTCTGCATTCCAGTTCAACCCAAATATGTTTTATAGGGTTGATGTCGAGGCTCTGTGCTGGCCACAAGTTCACAATCCTTGTGACATGGAGAATTATCATGTTGAAATGTGTAAGGGCTGGTACCATAAAATTGCCATAATGTAGGACACACAGAATTGTTCAGGACATCAGTGTAGGATTCAGCATTCATGGATCCATGCACTGCAACCAGTGGACCTAGTCCATACCATAAGAAGCACCCCATACCACGATACTGCAACCTCCAAACTTCACTGTTGGGACAACACACTCAGATAATAAGCATTCTCCAAGCATCCTTCATAACATGTCCATAAGACAGGAAGAGCATGTAGCTTGATCCATAGTGCCACAGGACCGATTTCCATTGATCCGTGGTCTAGGCTCGGTGTGCCTTGCCCCATGCCAATTGATGGTGTGCATTTGTTTGTGTTATCAATGGCTTGTGGGCTGCAGCTCTTCCATGGCATTCAGATCTAAATGTGTTGTGGAAACACTTATAGGATTGCCTGTGGCTGCTTGCACCTCCAAACACAGATTCTCTATGGTCTGATCATGAGAAGAGGTAACCAGCCTTCTCAAGGTGTGTCGGCTCCTCCTGTCAGTCAGTATTTTATGCGTACCTGGTCGTTTCTGGGGCTCATTGTCACCTGTAGACTTCCATTTCTTCAGCACATTGCCTATTGTCGATCTGCGAGTGTTTAATTGTTGCACAATAGCACGTACAGACATTTTATCCAAATGACATCCAACTATGCTTCCTCTCTGAAACTGTTAGCTCTTTCCCTGTACTCGTCATTTGGCGTACAGGTTCGAAATGACTTCCGATTGAACCGCTGATCACCTTTACAAGCAAAACTATTTGCATACTTCGTTGTCACACCCATTTTCCTGCAATCAGAGGTGTGTCCCCTGACTTTTGTTGATGATAATAGATAGGGTTAGTGATATAGTAGAGTAAATGGAAAATAAAATATAAATATTTATCTTATAAAACTTGATATTCATATAAGAGGTTCTGGAGATTATGCAAAGGAAATGTGAAAACTGTAAGATAATATATAGTGTTTTTATGATTCATATAAAAAATATCTTGTAGGGGAATTATTCAGAGTCAGAGTGCAAATAACTACATTAAATAACGAATTTCTTTATTATAAACCTAAATATAGAGAATACATATTGTATTTTTCTGAAACTACAAACATTTAGGGACTTTCTTGCCACATTTTAAGCAATTGCATTCACTAGTTTTATTTTTGGAATGAAATTAATGAGAGCCAGAAATCTGGCAGCCAGGTCTAGTAGGGATAAATAAAAATTATAAACATGTTGAGTGGATTTGAAATCTATATGCAATCCTACAGAAGTACAGTGACACTATACTTGTATTAAATATATAAATGAAAACTATAAAATGAATTGAACTTTGTATACAACCCTATGAAAGTATACTAACACTGTCCACTTATAAAAACACTATCCAACTTGCCAAAACACATAATGTTTGATAAGATCATTCACCTATAGAACTTTAGTAAAATCATATTCCTTTAAAACAATATTCTTAATAATGCAATCCATCGGTAGAACATTGCTCTTAGTAACAGCATCCAACTATAGTAACTGGTTTTGAACTGTGATGTCAACCCTCTACTAAGACTGCAGCGCCGTCTCGTGTCATTTTATTAACCCATGAGAGAGTTGCATTCTCTGGTGCCTTATACGTAAGAAATATATAAAACTGAAGTGTTGGATTTAATGTTTTACTCATAAAGCAAAACCAACTGTGATAGTATAATCAGCATTATGTAAATTAGATTAACTTATTATTATTAAGATGTTGACTGTTACTATAAAATAAATGGCATGTTGATCTACATCACCCTCTGGTGGTTTCCTCATCATACTAACATCCTCTCTAGTGTTACATTGCAGCATAACAATTTAACCTCTAATGCCACTTCACTATACTATAACATCATCATCCTTTGTTTTCTATTACATAAGAGTTATGTAACCCACAGGTGTCGCTGTAAAATGCATGTCACGTAATAGTTCTGTAACCCTCAGGCAGTATCTTTGATTTCTCCTCACCTGTTGACCTACCTTCTTATGGGCACCAAAGTATTCTGATAACTACTTCCTCCTGAATTTAAGTTTCAAACAGACAGCAACTGCCTGTTGTAGAAACCTACAAAACGTCGTCCTCTATATTTGTAGGTTTCTACATCAGGCAGTTGCTGTCCATTTGAAACTTGGATTCATCATGAATACTTTGCCTAAACAACCTATCAACGATTACTTCCTTCTCACTGAGAAGACAAAACTGGTATCAGCCCTCTGTTACGACAGCGAGAGTCAAGTGACGCTAGTAACACGTCATGAGCTTCTAGAAAATTCATGTCCCTTCGTGAAGCCTCGAGTATTTACTAGATGTGCGGTATTCTTGTATATAAGACCGCCAAGAAGTGACGGCAATAATGTAATTGAATTGTAGACAGAGATAGAGTCAACAATTGAGTCAAGCGCGTGAATCGTTCGTTCGTTGTGAATTAAAGTGTTTGTTTAAATTATAGCGTGACTGTGGAAATTAAGTGTATTGCAAAGTTGTATTGAGAAAGAATAAACTAGTTTTATTTAAGAAAGGACTTGTATAGCAAAAGTTTCATCCGAAAAAAATTATACGGGAAATTAACAAACGACCAGAGACGTAAGAAATTGATGTCAGAAGTGGGATAGAAAAAAAAAGAAGAAGATGGAAACGAGAAGTGGCAAATCAAACTACAGCTTCACGGATTTGATGGCAGCAATACAAGAACAGCAAAACAAACAAGAAGAACGAGAAAATAAAAAAACAGAATAAACAAGAAGAGAGAGATTACAGCAGCTGTTGGAGGA